AGACAGTTGGCAACTTTTGAATGGCAGTTTCTTTGGCTGCAAAAAGAGCCCGCTGTAGCTATTATTACTGTGGTGCAGAAATATCCTCTCCTTTGGGCTCTAAAAAATTTCCCATAGAGCTTTATTCCTGTGCTCCACACAGTGCGTTGTATCTTATGGCTACACCACTCTCCCCCACCCCGGTCAGCAGTTCTGGGACCGGGAGCTTCTGAAGGGCACGGGCGTTAACATGTCCATCTTTACGGACCCATCCCAGTCTGACACATGGTAGATCCTCAGATGTGTTGCTTGTATTGAATTTCATGATGAAAAAGCAAATAGATAACTTTTCCGCATTTTATTTATAAGGTCACTATATACCATATCTACTAGTCAGCTTTTGTGCTATGTAACTAACAACCCCCCAACTCAGGGCCTTATAACAGTGAATGTGGACACTTTCCTCCCGTTACGCGTGGCTGTACTGTTGCTCTGTCCCTGGCTCTGTACTCAGGCACCTGAGCTGAGGAGCTGTGATCTGAAAAGAGCCTTCCCAGTGGCTGAGCAGGGAAGAGCATGAGGCTCAGCTATCGACTTGGAAAGCTTCTGATTGAATGAGGCACATGATGTCACTGTGCTCCCATTCTGGTCCCCGGCTGGTGCAAAAGGGTTGTGCTCAACTGCTAGGCTAAAGGTTGGCGATTCAAACCCACTCAGTGGTGCTGTGGAAGAAAGACCTGGCGATCTGCTTCCATAAAGATTATAGCCAAGAAAACCGTATGAAACAGTTCTGCTCTGTAACACATGGGGTCCCTGAGAGTTGAGATCAGCTCCGTGGCAATAGTTATCTTTTCTTTTTGGTGGCTGTTGTGGAGAAGAGTGTTCAGTGTTTGGGCACACCACAAGTCACATGGCAAGGGGAGATGCGTACTATCACACAGGGGATGGAATGACAAGTTGTAAATGATAAGAAATTTATCACACTAGAGTATAACAAAATAGACAGTTTTTAAACAATATAATTAGAGCACTAATTTATTTTTCAAATCAGCTTTTCAAACAATATTTACATTTCATTATCATCAAAACAAAATGTAATGTATTCGTTAAGATAATACATACGTTTGAAGGTAAAGCTATTTTTCCCTCCCAGTTCTGAAACCGTATTTAACTATGTGGCAGGAAAGTAGAACCGTAATAACTTCTAGTTCCCAAGTTACCTGGCTCCAGAAGCTCACGTTCCTTTCTTGTGTCAGCTCTGAAACACACTGCTAGCGTGTATGAGTATTCTTAACTTGGCTCCAACAAGAAGGGATTCTTCAGCTCCTCACTTAAGTGAGCTTCTCAAAAGCTTTGATTTAGGAGCCAACTTGATTGAGGGGCTCCCAAAGGTCAAATACAGGACAATTTGAGCATCAATAAGGATAACTGCAAAACAGTGAAGCACTCAAATATGTTTAAGTTCATGGCTTCATAGTGGTACCAAAAATGTGTTTGACAGCAAGCCTAAGGGAAGAAAGAAACAGTTGAAGTGATGGTTGTGGAGCGTGTGCTGGCATCCAAACAACATTTTTTACGAAGCTACATCTGCATGAGCTAACAAGCCCACAGATCACGGACCTCCAACTCCCTGTAGACGAGTAACTATTTACGCTGAGCCAGCAGTCTTCCAAACACACCACATGCTCCCAACTTTTAAGCTCCTCCAGATTTTTCTCTGTAACTAATACCATATTTTCAGGCTGGGCATAATAGTAACTCTTCAAAATGAGACCTTACCACTTGCAGGTTGCAATTATCAGCTTTAATTTTATTTTTACTATTTCCAGAGAGAAGGTAGCTGTTTTGCTGTTTGATCTGAATTCTAAGCCTCTATCCAAAAATGAGGCCTTGAAAGATAGTTTGGAAAACATTTTTTTTTTTTTTCAAATCCATCTAGAATCTTCCTCATTTAGCCCAGCCTCCTGGTAATTTAGACACTGAGATTCAGAGGCCAGATGTGTGATTAGTAAATCATTTCCAAAGAAGGGGCTTCCTGCCAGTTGAGGCTCCAGGCTCCTTCTCTGCCCAGAGGAGATGCCCCAGGGCCCCACTGATTGATTCTTGTCTCCCTGGCCTGCCAAGGGATTTTTGGCTCCAGTTTCCTTCATATTCTCCCCTCTCTGCACTCCTGGACATCCACAAACTGAACTTCGGTGTAGGGTGATCTATGGCCGAGAGTTATATGATAAAGATTGTGGTGAAATAAAAAGGAGGCAAGAGGAGCAGGAAGGCAGGGAACAGCAACAACGAAACAAACATGGTTCAGGTGCAAAGTCACCAGGCTTTTCCGTGGTTCTGACTCGTCCTTCCTGCTCTCTCCTCTTGGCTGACTCTGCAAACATTCACACA